GGGAGTAGTAAAGGTGAGCAGTCTGGAGTGTGGGAACTGTTAATGGGGATTAGATTAGGGTATCTACAATCCTAAAATGCTATGAGAAGGGAGGAAAACAGGTCCATAACGTAGGAAATGGTGAAGGAAGTAGTAAGGCTAGCAGTGCAGAGTGGGGAACTGTCTGTGGCATTTATAGATCTGCAAATCTAAAATGAGGGCAAACAGGTCCACAACGTAGGGAGTGGTGAAGGAAGTAGTAAAGGTAAGCAGTGTGGAGTTTGGGAGTGGATTAATGTATCTGCAATATTAAACTGTTTTCAGAGTAAACTAATGATTTTCCCCGAGCAAAGCTTGGTCCCCAGGTACTACTTCCTAAATGAGATGGTATACTGATCTATCGGATATGAGGGTATACTTGCAAGTGTACTCCATTTTAAAGTAAACATTATACAGTACAAGTATATATATATATTATAGGCTATATATGATAAATATATATATATTATTGAAGGTCTAAGGCCTTCATTTAAACATGTAAAATGTGAAGGTTTTGCATTATTGAGACTTGTGGATGGATTTTCATTAACAAATAGCTTGAACATAACGAAGGAATACCACAAAGGTTCCATCTTCAACCCAAGCATTATTTTGTGGAAATCACTAGAGTCATACATAATTTAAATAAGTGTATTACACCATACTGAATGTGTTACATGCATTTATCAACAAGTTAACTTAAACAAGCATGGGTTACTGATAACTAGTTGAAAAACAAGTATTTACTCTTTAGGCAAGTATTTGCTGATGGTTATTCACACCAAATTTATAGGTTTCTGAGGGTATATACTTTCTTGGAAAGGCTTTTTAGAAGTACAAGTAAATAGTCATGCTTATTCAATTCTGTTTAAGTAAATACTCAAATTATGAAAATTCAAGACAAGTAAAAAAATTTGAAGTACAAGAACTTTAACTTAGAAAATAAGAATGTGTCAGCTGTTACTATTTCATTTAATTTATAATTGATGGTTGATTATTACCTAATGATTAAAAATTATTAAATATATTTCTTTTACAAAGTTTATTGGTTTTATTTACAATCTGTTTTAAATTAAATGATAAGTAAATATGATGACATTTATATAAATTAAATAAAAATTGGGGGAAAAATGTATTATTAATAATAAGACTACAGTTAATACAATAATGTATTACTGTTTAAAGTTATGGATTAAATAAACTAGTCTTAGTATTGATCTTAGCCTACCTGGTTAAGCAACTCATGGAGTTGAAGGTTCAACCCCTGTACTGAGCAACAATGCTGTTAAAGCAATGTGCTGAGATTCTTCTCGTGTAGGCCGGGAAGTTGCTTTCAACCCTTTTTTCTTTTTGTTTTTGGTTGAAAAAAAACTCCTTTGAGGCTCGATTTTTATCTTTTTGGTCTTGGTTCTTACTTTTAAGGCAATATTCCTCTGTTTTATCCATTTCAACTTTGCATCTAGGTTTTTCAGGCATTGATCAGCTACTTTTAAACTCTCCGGGTTGTCAATTTTATTTAAAATTGACTCAACACGTTGCCTTAATAGAAGTTTGTCAGTAGATCTCACTCTTGTGGGCATAGGCCCACCTATTGACAAAAGTCTTATCGCAAAACTGGCACACATTCATTGTTGACAGTTGACACCACGCGACCACGCGACAGACAGCATCGAATTTGACGTTTAAGTTCGGCACTGCTCGGTAAGATTCGGAAGCGTTCGGCACAGCGCAGTAGTGGGGGAAGCGTCGTTCCGATTTCAAATTCCGCTGTCCCGTTTCTAGACAGACGAAAAAAGAGCGGTGACGGTCTGACGGCAAGGCCTCCTGACAAACACAAAACGACAAGCATAGAGTATTAAGGCTTTTGTTTTGGCGCCAGTATAGCAAAACTTTTCCATCGAGTACTAAGAAACACTTGGTAAAATATAAAAAATGTTTAATAATAATTTATTACAATACTTTATACTGTAATATAGACACCAGTAATTAAATTTGCATCATAAACCAGGAGAACCGAGTGGTGCTCTGCTTCCCCAACCAATAAAATCAACGGTGTCACCAATTTACTATTCTATCACGTGCTAACTCCAGTTGTTGTAAGGATAGCATCTATCTGTCGCCCAGTCAAAAATTAAAAGGTGAGCACTTTTTCACCTCAAATTAGTTGACGAATATCGAAACTGGAAAATCGATACTTTTACCGCTCGATTGTTTTAGAGTAATCGAATCGGAATCGGAGTAAATTTTATTGGTTTGACTGCAGCGAGCACATAATAATAATAATTTGACTGAGACTGACTTAAAGCACGATTACTAGAAAAATACCGGTATGGATCATAAACATAAAAAAATGACGTTTTGGCCCGAAAATAAACATGATTTATCATTGCTTAAATGGAACTAAAAGAGACCCCTTGAGCTGAATAAATTGATACTAAATAAGTTTACTGTTACATTCAATTCAATACTCTCTTGAGTACTATATCATATCGACCTCCAGACAAAAAATAAAATAAGATTAATGAAGGAATCAGGAATAAAATTTCTAAGAACTGTGATCAAGGTAATAATTTTGTAATTTTTAATTCATCATTAAGCTTTAAAATTATTAGTCTTAAGCAAGGAAAATAGTAAATTACACTCCCTCTCAGGAAGGAGGCATTTTTTACAAGAGCTGGGTTGATACTAACAATAATAATACAAATTAGGTAATAGAAATGGCCTCCATCTGATGATATTCAGTTTTGATTAAAACAAATTCTGGTCCCGTGATGAACATAACCTTAGCAATAATCTTTTCAACTGTTGACATTGAATTTTATTCCCATTACTATCTACTGATAAATAGAAACAGAAGAAGAATTTTTTCGTAAGGTATTAACAAATTTATGTATTCTCTTAAAAAATTGACATTACGTCCCTAGGCGCTACATATATGTTCTCTCCTTTAATGATCTACCATTATTAAATTCAAACTGTCAGTGTCAAGTCACAAGTCAAAGGAGAACGGGAATGGATGGAGTGGGAGTGGGCTATCGATATCGCGATGTACTAAATTCTAAAAACAATCGAGCTGTACAAGTATCGATTTTCCAGTTTCGATATTCGTCAACTAATTTGAGGTGAAAAAGTGCTCACCAAATTAAAAACCTCTTTGGTTTAAGGTTTGTTTAGCAGCCGTTATATTTCTTTTCACCACACTATGATGTTTTTAGCTGTTTTACATACGTTAATTGGTGGCTGAAAGTTACGTTTTGCTGGCCATGCCAGCTATCGTTATTATTTGGGGAGGGGACCAAGTAGGTTTCCCAAGGGCCGCAAAATCAGCTGCCCGCTTACTTACTTACTGTAAAACATGAATGCATATTAAATACACAATCAGTATCCATAGCTGCTTTGCAATAGAATTGTTTTATTGTCACCGTTGCCTAGCAACTATTTATTATTATATTTGCCGATTCCACATTTCTCCACATAACCTTAAAGTTGTAGTTGTGTTGACTATTAGTATGCATTATTTTTGTCGTAGTGGTGAAAAATAGCGTTCGTACCACGGACCGAAATGGTTTTGCCGGCTCGAGATAGTTTTTAAGTTCGGCCCTAGGTACGAAATATACTGAAAATTGTGTATTTTTGAAACAGTTTGGTAACTTTTAATAGCCATTTCCAACATCTACAACTGTGTCTAAAAACCTGCCGTTGCAATTAAATTTTGAAATTTATGTTTAAATTTATATTTTATGGGTCCAAGGGGGGAGCTTAGCCCATATAGCACCCCCCCCCCTTGGAACCGCCACTGCTTTGATAGAGATTTTGGTAAGGTTGAAAATATGAGGAGAAACCCAAAGAGAGGCTATTATGTTCCTTTTGATGACTGAGTGGTGGTTATTGTGGTGTTATTGTTGTATAATCCGACATCTTTTTACAATACTCTTTTTGCTTGCTCCCAACTCCCAGGCTCCCGAAATAACGTGCACCCAGTCATTTCAGATGAAGATTTTGTTTCCCTAGATGGCATTCAAAAATATTTGGTGAAATCTGTGAAAAGTATATGTAAAATGCAGTGGTTGCGATTTGGAAAAAGCCACACTTGGGCATTGCTCTACAAAACTAATGAACTTAATGTACCTGATGGGTTTTTAACCAACTTTTAAACTTAGATTTAAAATAAAAAATTGTATTTGTCACTTGTACCCCTTGGCTTCTCACCCCTTCATTTCATCTTCGGAGTTATTTATCGCAGAAAGCACATTGTTGGTCGTCATGTATAAAGTAAAAACATATCACTCGGATTTGAGAAGTAAATATTAGATTTTTTTAATAAATTTAATACATATGTTTCAGCAGACCAAATGACATAAATAAATAGATCGTTCTCATAAACTCTAGCAAGTTTACTGTTATGCCAGTATAAAATAGGAACTCCTGTACATATTTTAACCATAAAGAGATTTACTTTTTGCTAAAGCAATGCTAAGCACAGTTTTTTTTACCATTTCTCTCATAGTACTGTAACAGTTAAATGCATGTACTTTATTTTACATTTGAAAATAACAAAAACAAGTATAAAACTTTAAAATTTTCATGAAACCTAGAAAAACTAACTTTAGTTTATGGTCTACCAATAACAAATCACCCATGTATACTATTTCCTTTTTATTCTAATATTCACAAAATCACAACAGCGTATTTTCCCCAACAGTTGGCGGGTAAACTGAGAAAAACGGAGGGAAGCAGCGCGGCGCGCCGGGCGACGGTTGCTGGCCGATTCTGCTCTCCTGATACCAAAGTACATCCTAGAGATGACGTCGGAGGTGCACAGAGAAAGGGTTAAATAGGTTCGACTTTGCAGACTCGCCGCCGTTTCTCGCGTGGAGTATAGTCTGGCGGGTGAACCTCTTCGTGTTGAGGCAGGTCATGGTTGCGACTGCGCCGGACGAGTCCATGTTTTGGCGGACTCTCGTCTGGGGGGTGTACGGTCAACGACCTACCGCAAACACCCTGCCGGTGGACTCGACTTCGCGAGTGCATAAGTTTGAAAAAAGTTTCACCAAGAGTAACCGTAGGGTTTGATGACGTCGTCGGTGACGTACAAGATGCACTGGAGTGATGTCAAAAGTGGAAATTACTCTGGATATTCGCAATCGGCTCAGTTGCCCGAGAGGTGCGATCGTGAACACATCTAAGATATAGCCTATTATGAATTTTTTGTTAGTGCGGTACGAATATATTAATATTTTTATGGAATTAAACAAAAAGTTAATTTAGTTAATACGAATTATAATATAATGAGAATTTTAAATTGTAAATGAATAATAGTTCATGGCAATGAAAAGATTAATTGAAAGTGTATTCACCAAAGTGCCCATGTAAGTACTTTTGAAAATTTATAAGAATGGAGGGTATGTAATTTTTAACTGAATATTTATGTCTGTTTATCAAAGCTAGGAATTTCTCTAAATAGTTAATCATTTGAAGCCATAGCGAGGAGTTTTGTGCACACCAAAAAATATTACCGAAGACATAAGTTAAACAATAATCGAGTGGTGTGAACTAATATTAATGGATAATATTTTTACCCCATTAACTAAGAATGAATAAAAGTAATAAGAAACTTGTGAAAATTATGTTATATTGGCTGGAATAGGAATATGATAATTTAAATTAACGTTATAGTCACTAAGCAATAAATAATATCTTTATTCTTGTAGTGTCTGTTTCTTGTTTTCATTCTAAATATTAAATCTCTGAAGAAAATTGAGGGAATATGAGACATTCACTGAGTCATTCAGTGTTACCACATTAGCAATATTTACAAGTATTTTAATTTACTATACTTTGATAATTCTTTAGAAACCTGAACCAAGTTGCAAAATGATATTGAAATCGTTCTGTCTGATTGCGTTACGTAAATACACTAAGGTACTTTCATAGACTATAAAAAGCCATAAATGCCAAACAAACTATCTTATCTTTGACATCAAGGTTTAACGATAAAAAATATTTCTAGCGACCTCGAGTGGTTTATAACACCTCTTGATTTATTAGTGGTTCTCTGAATTTCAATTTCAAAAATTAAATATCCAGCTCATTGGTCAGAGCTTGAGAGTTTTCAAATGACAGAATTGAATATTAAATACAATTTTTGTTATTTTCGTGATTATATTTTCTATACAACACAGGATTTTTAATTTGTAAATATTTTCCTGTCCTGTACAATTATATTCTTTGGTCAAAAATTAACTTGGTTCAGATTAGATTGCACCTTTTTGTATAATGGTCGGTGTGATAATCCATGCCTGCCTTCTTTCTTATGTTAACACTACCTTCTTTGAACTAACATATGTTTTTTTTTTATTATTATGATTTTGTAAACATTATCTTTTTTAAATACACATCTTTTGTCAAGTCCTATTAATTTTTGTCTTGTCTGTCCTTAATATTTTTAACAGTCGGAATAAGATTGAATATAATAATGTCTTCGTTATTAGTTTAAAGCGGTAACATTAACATAAACGTAGAAAACCTGTACAAAGTTATGACAAATACTATTAAAATGTGTGTGGAATTAATTTAGGATTTACCTACTTCGATATACTGTCCAGGTGGAAATTATTTTAGAACCAAGATTGTATAGCAATATAAAAAGACAGACAAAACACTTTCATTTCAATAATAATTGTATTTATGGAAAATAATATTAAATACCGGGTACGAGTATTTTTATAAAATATCGTTAAATTGATGTTTAAGTTTGTTCATCGAATCTCAAATAATTAGACAATTCGAATCTGCTTACTATGTATATTTTAGCGTAATTTAAATTTTTTTGACCTGGCAAGTTTCTTAAATTCTATAATTTTCCTATACTAGTTTATATATATTATTAGTTCGTTTATCTTTTCTAAATGATTTTCCAATCGTTCAACTAAAACGTGCATATCAGTAAGAAACAATTGTAGGCCTATGTGATTTTTAGAAACAAGCATATTTAAAACAATCCCACTAAATTTCTAAAATAGATACATCATGGTCGTATAATAAATGCATAAGTAAATTAAACTGGCACCTATTAGAAAAGACATTCATATAAAACAAATCAAACATAAATGTTCCACAAATTCACAAATATCTTTTCCAACTAATTATTATTAATCAAGTATGGAATATAAAATATGATTATAACCTGATATCAATATTTTTAGTATAGTACATAATACATTAATTATTTTCTTTTGTTCTCAGATCTTCTCTGAACGCCTTTGTCTTGATGCGAAGGCTGTATAAATTTGGCAAGGACAAGGCAGTCTGTATTGGGTAAGGTCATGGAACAGAGAGTCTGCGGTGGCGGGAGGAGGAGATGAAGGGGTGGGGGGTGTGGAGGGGGCGAAGGCCAACTACAGAGGTTACTCTCGGTCATTCGCGCGTGACGTCATCAGTCACAACCAAACCCGTGACGTCACTGGTCGATTTCACACATTTGAAACTACCCCCTGTACCCCACTCCCATCTAGTGGTTTATGTACTTTAAAGTAATTCAAACATATTTAAAAAAATCTATAGGAAAAGGTTTAATTGTTTATATAAATTAACAGTTTTTTTGTTCAGTCTAAGAAGTGAATAAGAACATTTTTTAAATGATAAACAAGAGGGTCATTAAAATCCTCAACTGCAGGTTAAATTCGCTAAAATGCCAGCACATGTTGCTGCAACTTGCATTGGTAGTCAATTTCTTGAAAATGTGCATACAAATGCTTGAGGTAACTTTTTTCAAAATCTGTCCTATGTTGGGAAAAGCCGACATTTTAAATCGTGATTTTAGGGGTTTTTTCCGATTTTTGCCAACTTTTATGTCACTCTGCACACCCAACACTGCAAAATAAAACCATAATGTTTTCTTGCAATTTTTAACGATCCCTGTGTCTGTTTTTTAGTTTGCTTGGACTACATAGAAACCATCTATTAATACTAACTTACTGTTAACTACTTAAAATGTGATAGAGACTAACTTGAGAAATGCTGCTTTTCTAGAAGTGCTACGAAAATAAAATTTGAACTTGGTCTAGCGCCAACACCCCCGGGAAAATTATGAAAATTCACCATTTTCTAATTGTCATCCCCCGAATTTTATAATCCCCCCCTGTGTGGTTCTTATGGGGAATAAGCTCAAAAGTGGCTTACTTTGGTATGCTGATCTGAAACACTTAGAAATGTGTTAGAAACTTGCTTTGCTTAAATAAGCAATCTAATAAGGCACCATCCACCCAGGGGGGCCTGGGCGAGCCAATGGCAAGTTTTATTTATTATAAAAGAAGCTTACGTATTTCAAAGTAATTACTTTACTACTGTACCACTTTATGTTTGCCGACATGGGGTTTATATAGATATTAAGAATCATACAATAAATCTGTCAAGTTGTTGATTCAGAATCTTTTTGGGTATAAACCCTTTTATGTCTTATTGTATAGGAAGGATATGGATAAGGCTGAGTGAAGAATGGAGTAAGATGATCTGTGTAGCTCAGCCGCTTAGCAATGTCTGATGTGGTTTGCAGTACTTCAACTGGCATTCTTCTAGAGGAAGATATATGAATAGGTAGCTGACAAGCAGATAACATCTTGTTATACTACTTATGAGTGCCTCTTTGCATTTAATGCCACTATAGATATTCTTCATTGGGGATGTTTATGATAAATAAATACATTGTTTGTCAACTGTGTTATATAATGTTAGCTGAAAGTCGTCTCTTCAAATTTACTTATCAAAAATTGAATTGGAATGGATTATTTTTCAATTGGATAGTGTAATAGCTCTTATGTTTTACATGTGCATGTGGTTAAATATTTTCAGAATTAAAGTTGGGTTTAGTGCATTATGATAAATAAATACTTTGTTTGACAACTAACTGTGTTAAGTAATGTTAGCTTAAAGTCGCATCTTCATATTTACTTATCAAAAATTGAATTAGAATGGATTATTGTTCAATTGGATAGTGTAATAACTCTTATGTTTTACATGTGCATGTGGTTAAATCTTTTCAGAATTAAAGTTGGGTTTAGCGCATTATGATAAATAAATACTTTGTTTGACAACTAACTGTGTTAAGTAATGTTAGCTTAAAGTCGCCACTTCAAATTTACTTATCTAAACTTGAATTGGAATGGATTATTGTTCAATTGGATAATGTAATAACATAGACTAAGCAACACAAGTAGACTCCTCATCACATTGTACATTTTGAAGCTAGTTTTTTATGACTAGTTCATGTACGTCCACACCGATCGCTGGGGTAGACAAAATTTTGTTTCTATTATTTTAGGGTTATTTTCATGATTTGTGCTTTACTATTTGGTTATATAACGAGGAGACCAGTTATTGTTTATGATTATATCTTTTTATTTGGTTAAATGAGGTTTTAAATGACTGAAATAACAAGAAACAAAATGTAAACAAAATACGACCTCTACAGTTGGACGTACAGAACTAACAATAAAATTGGCTTCAGCTGTTCCATAAGGATGACAAATCTACTAAGGGAGTATGTTTTATCTATGGTAATAACTCTTCTGTTTTATATGTGCATGTGGTTAAATCTTTTCAGAATTGAAGTTGGGTTTAGCGCCTTGTTTGATGAATGAAAGAGTGAAGTACCAATTTCCAACTTTATAAATAATTACCGGTAGGTAGCACAAGTTCATGTTACAAACACCATCATGAAGGTCGATCATTTTGTGGATAAATACCCCCGCCGCAGCGAACCTGCCGACTAAGCGAATTTCCATTTGTCTGAATTGATTTTCAGTTAAATATATTTTAATAACATTAGGTTTAACGAGTACCTAGGTTTGCTGCTACAAGGAAACTAATAAAGTGTGTTTTTGAGTAAAATATTGATAGCTTAGTACAAAATAAATAAATTTGCCAAGTTTGATCAAAATATATCCATAAACAAGCAAACTACAACATTTGACAATATTCTCCATAAGAATAACATGGGAATTTTAAATTTACAATTTTTTTATTTTCTCCGTTACTAATAATTGAACAAAAATACTTTTATATACTAAATTATTTGTTTTTTTAAGCTCTTTAAAAAGGTCTAAAGAGAAATCGGGAAATTTTGTGTTTTGAGGGTCAAAAGTGAGAAAAACCAATTTGTACCCCATAAAATCCCCCGTAAAGCCTCGTTCCCATGGTCCGATCGTGCTGGTTTGCGAACTCATTGAAGTTTATCCCGCTTTACACCTTCAAACCAAATTTCATCAAAGTCGGACAAAAATTACTCAAGTAATTGCGTTCACGGACGTATATATATATATATATATATAGACTTATATATATATATATATATATATATATATATATATATATATATACATATACAAAAATTTGAACGAATGGTGTTTTTGGCCTCTGGGGACATCAAAATGAAAAAGTAAATCGGTCCCGGGTCTAGGTCTTATCGTGCCACCTACGGTAATAGCTACTTCCCTATAGGGAAATTCGCTAAAACATAGTAACAGAAAAAGACAAAGTCATCGACTTAAAAAATTAGTGTAAACTACAGATTATATAATAAAAAATTAAATTATCAAGCCACATTTTAGCATAACAAACAGAAATTCAATTAAAACACATAGTTTCCTTTTGACTTAATCAACATTTACTTTGATAATGGCTGTTTTCACATAGGTAGGCTGGTACAACAATGTTTTGTTGATACTGGAAATAACTGACTTAGACTAATTGTTACATCTCTGATGGAATGACATATCATGTTATACATTGTATGTAATACCACTGGCTATTTGATACTGAAGTATTAATAGTTAAAGGTAATACATAACTTTACTAGATAGTCTAGGCATATTAGGAAAGTTAGCAGAAAGTTTAGGTACAGTCCTAATCATCACTTTTCTTTATGTTTTTTGGGTCGCTGAACACGAATATGAGGTTTGCTGACAGATATTTTGCCCGGAACATTGTTTATTTTGTGAAAAACCTTAAAATTTAGGCACTTTTTTAGGTTTTTTGGTCAAATCTCGGAAAGTATGGATTTTTGAGAAAACCCTGATTTGTAAAATTAAAGATGACAAAATTTACTACAAGTTTCCTATACAGGGTGGTCGCGAATAAGCGTTAAACTTTTTATTGGGTATAATAGGAGCATAAATGGAACTCGTAAACGTGGTTTAAAAAAATATATCTCATACACCCCCAGAGATGACATGTTTTAAGTTTTTTGGAAAAAATTTACATAAATGCAAAAATGTTGCATTTTTTGGGTTAATTTAAAACTTTCAACAACAATTAACTGTACCATCGCGTTCTCCACAAAATTTTGAATAAAAATACATGTATTTCAACTTGCCAAAATCTGCATAGCTACTTGTCAAATTGAATAGAAATAAAAATTTGTGTTTTTCAAAAAAATTTAAAAAAATACGTAAACATAAAACTTTTTTCAAAAAAGGTTTTAACGAACAGCAAACACTTTTAAAAACTGCTCCATGATCTAAGCTTTCAAACAATACCATAAAACGTAATATTTGATCCCTATAAATGTCCGCTATTCAAGTTTGAATGGCGTAAAACACAGGTTACCCAAAACATTTTTACTACAGTCGCGTCGTAATAATGTTTTTTAGATTAATTAAAATAGCACCATTTAAACGGATTTTGAAATCAATTTTTTGGCAATCTTTTTTCAAACTGGATGAATTAACTCAGCTATAAGGCTAATCTTATACCAATTCAAGTAATATATGTACCTATGATATGAAATTAAAAATTAATAATAATTCATTTCGTAGTAGAGAAATTAGTTTTATTATTTACAGTACAGCCATGATATGAAACAAAAAAAGACTTAGTCGTTTTCTCTTATTTACACTACTGCATACTTCACTAAAACGACAAGGCTGTGCCCTACAACCTAAAAAAAACACGATACAGATATTTGATAAACTTCAACTTAATAAATAAAAGTAGCCTTAAAATATGTTAAAATGAAAATATTACAGTAGTTGGGGATTAAATTGAACACATGAGACAAATAATTTAGTTTCAGGTAATACAAATGTTCAACATTTTGGATAGATTGTACAGACATTTCATCAAATTTTAATAAAAAATACAGCTAGCTCTAAAATATGGTAAAATTAAAAGATTAAGTAATGGATTAAAATAAACAAAAAGAGAATTGCTTCATTTCAACTTCCCTACTTGGATCGGACGAGGAGGCACTGTTTCTTGGCCTGCCAGATCTCCGGATCTTAACCCAATGGATTTTTTGTTTGGGGGTTTATGAAATCGGTCGTCTACGCAACCCCTGTAAACACTGAAGAAGAACTTTTGAACATGATCATTGGAGCAGCAGAAGTGGTCAGGGGAAAGATGAGCCATAGCGTAACTGTTCAATTTATGAGAAAGAGAGCCAGAGCCTGTATTAGACAGAATGGCCATAATTTCTAAAATGTTCTTAAGTGAATGCCGACCTCTCTTGTTTCAAATGTCCACACAACTTTCCACTTCTCCGAGAGATTTGAACATGAATATTTACCCCAAAATCAATTATGTCTTTCATAGCTTTTTGTTTATTTTAATCCATTATTTAATCTTTTAATTTTACCATATTTTAGGGCTAACTGTGTTTTTTATTAAAATTTGATTAAATGTCTGTACAATCTATCCAAAATGTTGAACATTTGTATTACCAGAAACTAAATTATTTGTCTCATGTGTTCAATTTAATCCCCAACTACTGTAATATTTTCATTTTAACATATTTTAAGGCTACTTTTATTTATTAAGTTGAAGTTTATCAAATATCTGTATCGTGTTTTTTTTAGGTTGTAGGGCACAGCCTTGTCGTTTTAGTGAAGTATGCAGTAGTGTAAATAAGAGAAAACGACTAAGTCTTTTTTTGTTTCATATCATGGCTGTACTGTAAATAATAAAACTAATTTCTCTACTACGAAATGAATTATTATTAATTTTTAATTTCATATCATAGGTACATATCTTACTTGAATTGGTATAAGATTAGCCTTATAGCTGAGTTAATTCATCCAGTTTGAAAAAAGATTGCCAAAAAATTTATTTCAAAATCCGTTTAAATGGTGTTATTTTAATTAATCTAAAAAACATTATTACGACGCGACAGTAGTAAAAATGTTTTGGGTAACCTGTGTTATACGCCATTCAAACTTGAATAGCGGACATTTATCGGGATCAAATATTACGATTTATGGTATTGTTTGAAAGCTTAGATCATGGAGCAGTTTTTAAAAGTGTTTGCTGCTCGTTAAAACCTTTTTTGAAAAAAGTTTTATGTTACGTATTTTTTTTTTAATTTTTGAAAAACACAAATTTGTATTTCTATTCAATTTAAAAAGTAGCTATGCAGATTTTGGCAAGTTG